GTGCACAAACTCTTTGGTGCAGAGACTGCCTTTCCAGGCTCCCCTCAGTCGCTGGGCATCCTCCGAGGATGCAGTAAGGAGGGAAGCACAGGCTGCAGGGAGCGCAGCCTCAGGCCCGCCGGGAACACGGGTCAAGCTTTCACCCCCATGGCAAACACCGTCCCTGCTCCTTCCCTCTCCCCCGTTCCCACACCCAGTACAGTCGGCCACCCCGCTGCTGGGAGACTTGCCTGTAGCTCCTCCAGGGTGGCGCTGAGCCACACTGATTCGATCCCCCAGATATGGAGGGGTTCGGCCCCCATTTAGCCTGGAGCGAGAGGCACTAACAACGGTGCTGGGCTGCTGGGGCAGCTCCCAAGCACTGCCCCATGCACAGCACTAGTCTGGCTCTAAGGACAGATGCTTTTAGCACCTGCAAGTCACCAGGTCCCACATTTACCTCCAGAGGAATACTGTCATGTGAACTGGGTTTTAAACCAAAGATACTGGGTTTTAAACTGGAGTTGCGATCCCAGCTCAAATCTCAACGCTTCACACCAAGCACCAACCTTCCTGTTTCCAAGATGGTGCATTTGGCAGGGCGAACAAATCCCTCTCTTCTCGGAGCCCCTCCAGCCACCCACTCCCTCGGAGGAAGGAGGGCAGAGTCTGCCAGGGCCCATCGGGAGGTGGTGGGCAGCCCTGCTTCGGCTTTCCTCTCCCTCACCACTCCTGGTGTTTGCAGGCCTCCAAGCCCAAACACCTCTTCCTGAGGAGAGCCGACGGGAAGGAAGCACTCTCACTGTCCTGTGTCCTTACACAATACAGACTGGCTCCCCTTCACAGAAAGTCTGGTGCCGGCTGAGGAATAGATTATGTGAACCTTTAGTAGAGACAACTTACTCAATGTTTTATGAGTACCAAAACCAGGCCACAGAGGGCACAGTTACAATAGAGGATGACATCGAACGTGGGACCATTTCCATCACCATGAGAAACCTCCAGGTACAGGACTCAGGCAAATACTCCTGTGGTTCCCATCTTAACACCGACAAATTCTTCCCACTAAAGACAATCTCACTGAATGTTTTCAAGGGTGAGTACGTTTCTCTCCATACAAACTCAAGTCTTGTCAAAAAGGAACATCCTTCCCTCCCCTGTGCCATCCCTCCTCTCCTACCCCAGTTCAATGGCTTCCCCTGAACCCCACAGTCCCCTCACCCTCCCCAGGCCTTGCTCACTGCCTTCCCCACTCACACAAGCCCAGTGTGAAGGAGCCCCACAGCCCCAGCTGGCCCTGGGGGCTCACGGCTCTGAAATGTCCTGCTCTAACTCACCCCTTCCCTCACTGCCCTGCAGGCCCTGAGCAGAGCTACCCCAGCGGAGATTTGGCCTGGGTGCCCAGCTCAGTCAGGGACACGGCCGCCCGCGTGCCCACGGCCGCCTGCCGGTGACCAGATTTGCTGTTTCACAGAGTTCCACAGTCAGGAGTTGGACACGCTCTCTGTGCAGTGCCCATACAGCGCCCAGACGTACAGCACAACAACAAAAGCCTGGTGCCGAAGGGAAGGTCACACTTTGTGCAAAACCATGGTCAGCACAAATTACCCATCCACACGGCATTACAGCAAAGCCCAGCAAAACAGAACCTCGATCCAGGACGACACCTGGGACAAGACTGTCACCATCACCATGCAGAAGCTGCAGGAACAGGACACTGGCGTGTACTGGTGTACACGCAACACATACACAGGTCCCATCCGAATAATGGAGGTCAGGCTCACCGTGTCCAAGAGTGAGTATCTATTTGAGGGGAAGTGCAGCTGCCCGCAGGTTTCAGCCCCATCTCCCCTGCTTGTTTTCCCCTCCCGTCCTGCGCCAGACCACCGAGGAGCCCAGAGCAGCCACCACCGGCAGAGTTACAGCCAGGAAGGGCTCAGCCCATGGCACGTATTCCAGCCGTGGGGAGGCGATGCCATTATGCCTGTTTTGGGAGCTCACCAAACACGCCTCATGTTTTCCAGGGACTCAACAATACACAGCCAGGGAGTCAGACATGCTCCATGTCCAGTGTCTGTACAGCTCCCCAGACTACAGGGCTGTGACGAAAGCCTGGTGCAAAGTGGGAGCTGGGAAAGAATGTGCTGTCCTGGTCCGTACAGATCAGCAGCCCTCAGAGCATCACAGAACAGCTCAGCCAGGCACAACCACGATCCAGGATGACAGCCGGAGGGGGATTATCACCGTCACCATGGAGAAGCTGCAGGCACAGGACTCTGGCGTGTACTGGTGTGCGCTTTACGAACACCCACAACTCTTCCGAATAGTGGAGGTTACACTCGATATTTCTAATGGTGCGTATTCATCCGTAGGGAACCATAGTTGTCTGCAAACTCCAGACCCACTTTCCTGCTCTCTCTCCAGTCACTGTGCTGCCCAGCTTATATCACCTCCCAGGTTATACGTGGATTTTCTTCCCTGCCCAAACCCCACACAGTTTTACTTTCTCACACTTAGGATTGTGTTTAATTGCAAGAAGGATTGTAACTGGACTGCATGGATATGCTGTGTTGTTTCTCTTTTACATGAGAGAAGCTTCAGCCATCTTTACAGAGGTGCTTCTTTCACTCATGTTCTCATGCTACCAATTCTGTCTCTGTATAGTGTCTGACCCCTTCGCTTTCAAAGACTCTTAAGATTTTTACATTTGTTTGCAAAGGTGACAAATTCCATGCCTTTAGACCCATATTTTAAAGAAGTTGGACTTCTGTTTTTTCTTTCAGTGTGATGTTTAACAATAAGCGATAATATTTGGCCACCTGATTGTGGCAGACCAGTGCCGTTCTTTGCCCTGCCTTTCAGGAATTTGGCAGAGCAGTACTGAAGGGATACGGCAATCCAGGAGTCCAAAGGGGATGGCATAGTTCCTATATGAAAATCGTAACACTTGGGACTGAACGCACTTAAGTGAGCAGGATACTGCATGCACAGTCTCCGCTGGGGTACAGCAGCAGTCCTGGAAGCAATTCTTACCGCTGAGCCTTTATGCTCTTTGCTTATTTTTCACAGGCTTCTATCTGCTTATGCACAGTGTTGTTAAATACTTCATTGCTACCTGTAGATCTGTGCCTACAGATCCTATCCGCCTGCACCTGTAGTGCATACCCCTGCCACGTAGTGGGGAGGGAACACAAAGTAGGGCTCCTGTTGAACGCCTTCCCCCTCCCTCACACATTTTGATCCTTATGTTGCTTAGTCTGGATGACACTGGTTACAGCCTGGGCAACTTGTCCATGTTGTGTGTCACAGCATGAGTGGATTTATACCAGTGGTAGCAATAGCAGGAACGTTTAGCTGCTAAATGCTAAGTAGCCCAAGAATGATTCTTCTTCTCTTCATGGTTCTGACTGCAGGTTCAGATGAAACAACTTTGTCAGTTACTGCAAACACGAGTCAAACAACCCCTTCTGTCAACAATGCCAGTTTTACAACCACTGCACCACCAAAACGGTAAGGCCTAAAGAAAGTGTCTAAGTTTGAACACAAATAACAGTTATTAATGTCTCATCCATGATATGCCTCTCTTCCTGGGGCAGGCAATCTCTGGGCATTCCAAAGATTCCTGCTTAAAGAGATGTTAGGTTTGACAGGCATCCGTTCAAAAAGCACCCTCTCCTCTTCCAGCTCCTGTCCAGAATGCAATTACAAAGGGAGAAGTAAATTGACGAAATCAAGTCACAACTGTTCTGGGAATGTAGCTGCCTTTCCACTCTTTAACTATTTGGGTGGTGCTCTTTGCAGCAATAGAAACCTTCAGATTCTGCCCCAAAGCCTGCCTTGCCTTTGCTCATTCCTGGCCATGAATAGTTAACAGTGAAATAGTCTTCAGCTGCTATTGCATCCTTCTTCTATTTACCAGCTTATTAAATGTAAGGGATTTTCTTCCCCTTTTGACATCTGCTGTCATGCACAGGACAGCAACACCTGAGAGTATAACCATATATTGGCTCTCAATGTGCCAGGGGCAGAAAACCACAGGAGGTAAAGATAGTTCCTGCTCGAAAGAGCTTCGAATTGCACTTTGAACCTTGAACACTGGTTTGTTTTAAAAATTCAGAGAGCAGTTTAGCTCAAAAGGCACAGCCAAGTAATAACAATCTAGACAGCATTGCTCCATAAGAACTGGGCTCTCCTCCCAAGTACATAACAGCTATTCCTGCCCTGCCCATTGCTGGTCAACTTTTGGCAAAAGGCCACGCCAGCATCATGCTGCGCTGCCATCTAACACTGATAACTCCTTTGCTCCCTTAACTTCAGCTCCAGTGTAAATATCTTCATCCTCCTCTCTGTGTTCCTGGGCATCCTGCTCATCCTGGCACTTACCAGCGTGATAACACTGTGCATCAAGAAGCACAGGCAGCCGAGACAAGGTATGTGGAGACTGGCGATGTCTCCCATGTTCTAGTCAGTACTAAACAGGGTTGTCTCTGGCCATCAATTTTCCACTCCAACTGAGCTTATCCCCAGCTCACAATGCCCTGGAAAATATAAGACAGGTGCAGCCTGGGACGCCTCAAGGCAGGCTTAATGCTGTGATCTCCTCTCACAATAAATCAACCCCCTGCTCCTGTTTCTCCAGACTCTCCACAAGACACCTCCTAAATCCAACCAGGCTGCACGTTCTAGGGGAGAAGTAAAGTGAGAGCAACATGTTCACTGACAGATTCAGGTTAGATGGTCCTCACTGGCACACTCATCCCTCTCATCACGTCCATCCCTAGGCAATCCCACAGCTTCCCCCTACACTCCTATAGCGTAGTAAATGCCCAGGCATTCCATGGACTTCTCTACTTATAAAACCTCTGATTTTGGCTCATTCCTAAGGTAACAGACAAGCAGAAGACATCTATGACAAACCAGAGGACACAGCACAGGTAAGGAAAACAACAGATTTCCCATATGGTACCTGAATCCCCTACCAATAGCCTGTGAGGAGCTAGCTGACCCATGTGATAGGAAACTTCGTGTTCATTTTTGGTTTTGAGCAGGAGGGAAGGGGATATTTAATATGCCACCAGAGAGAGGAACGTTCTTAGGTGAACAGAAAGGGGTAACGTTAGGAAATTCCACTGGAAAAAAAGCCACTGGAGCAGATTCTATCAGTCTCTGAGAAATAACTCAACTACTTAGACTAGAAGCAAAGGTCGGAAGCTGAAGTCGTAATATGTATCAAGAAAGGAGCTGAAGGAAAGGGTTTGCTCTTCTTCCACCTCTGCCATGACAAAAGATAACTTTTTATATGACTCCCTTTCTTTCCCTCTGAGACAATTCCCTCTGTTCTTTTGACAACCGCTGTGGCCTGGCACTGAATCATGCTGAGAAGTGTTTTCCCTTTTTTTTTTTCATAGTTTCAGAGCACTGAAAGAATGGAAAGTCCTGAGAACGACAGCAAAGACCTAAAATACGTTACCCTGAACTTTATAACCCAGCTCAGCCCTGAGGAACCTCTCTATGCTAATGTTGGACAAAGTCAGGCTGCCGAGAAACCCAAAGCTGAAACTGTGGAATATGCTAACATTGCACTGAAGCAATTACCAGCGAACAACAAAGGATGATGCACAGGACACAAACAATCCAGAAATGGGAGAAAATAAATGGAACACAGAGAGGGAATGGGGAGTAGAAGGCATCTGCAAGGACATGGGGAAAAGAGCTGAGGTTTTGCTACCATGTATACCCTGCATATACATTTTAAGGCCTCCCTCCTATGGGAGGCCTGTAGCAAATTTTGTCACTGCTGTGCAGATTCTTTCAGGTCAGAGAGAAGTGCTGGGTATCCCTGAGTGTGCTGAGGATCCCTTGCACATCAATTTTCTTGTATTCTATTAAAACGCAGATTCTTTTGGAGAGGCAGGTATGGAGGAGTGACCTTTTTAAAAAGAGCAGTACTTGCTTGGCCAAGGATGGGTCTGGTATGTCAACTATGTTCACTGGTAGAAGCCCTGTCCTGCTCCTAAGGGTTCAACAACTATGGCCGAGAAAACCCATCCCAATGCTGCTGTGACTGGGTTCATTTGCCACATAACGGGTCGGGGAGGGTATCAGCACTGGAGTTACAGGAATAAGCAGAACCAGCATCTGCCTAAAGGGAAATATCTAGAGGGTACATGGTAGCAAGCTGAAATGCTGCATTGCAAACTTTACAAACTGAGAAGGACCCTGTATGAATCAGACCATCAGAAAGTCTTCTAGCTACAAAACAACTGCATGTATGTACAAATCCCTGAACAGCCTAAATTTATCAGTCTGCTTAAGTAAGAGAAACAAGATGGTAAGAGGCTTTCAAATAAAAGTAAACTATAGCTGTAGCGTAAGAAATAGAGCATGCACACAGAAGCTTGGGGGGAGGAGAGAAAGGTAGGTGGCAATGTGATTTCTGAGTACACGCACAAGTATCCCATTATGGAGTGCAGAAAGTTGTGGGGTAGATTCACTGCACCTGCTGTGGATAGCACTAGTGAGAGCCTCCAACACTGCACCCTCTAAACAACTCAATTATTTCCAAATTCAAGGGCTGAATTTGCACTCAGGCAGGGTTGTCCACAGCTACAGCATATTTATGCAGTCTCTAAGGCCTGTACAATGAAAACAGAATGAAGCAGTGAGTGAAATCTACTCACTGGCATGGCTTCCAGTAGCTTGTGCAGGCTGCCCCATCCTTCCACCACCTCCTCAAAGGGCCTTACTCTGTTCAACTACTTCTGGCTGGTGTCCTGGCCTATACCCTCTCTTCCCCTAGGATGCAGAAATTGGCTGCTTAAACCAAAGCACTGTGGAATAAAAACAAGGTAGGGAGAAGAAAAAAATGATTATTTCTGAAACAGGAGGGAAGCAGCATGCAGTACTGCACAAGAGGAGCAGACAGGGCACAGGGACTTTCTGAATGGAATTTGCCTTACTGTGCCAACTGCAAGGACAAGTCCTGAGACAGATATGAGGAAGGTCTGTACAGACAGTGGTGCAGAGCAAGAAACTGGCAGGCTGAGCAGAGAAGCTGCAGGAAGTATGACAAAGACAGAAGAGGAAGAAGTATGAGCACAAGAGGGCTGGTTTCAACATCAGATGGTATAACAGAAGGGAAGCAGCAGTTTTTAAGAGTGGATTATTTACAAAAGTAGACATCCAAGTGGGTCAGACATGCAATACATTTATAGATCACCAGTGGAGGCAGGCAGTCTCCAAGACTTGCCACAGGAACAGAGGACTGGCAGGAACCTCATCAAATCCCTGCTATCATGAATAATCTTGCCACAGACTCTCAAACACCTTTTCACAATGCACTCAATTTCTTGCCCTCAGTGTTGTGAGACATCTCTGCATCTCTGCAGGAATGTCCACTCCAGCCAGTCTCAAATGAAGCTCTGTTTTCTTTTGCAGCACTATGCTGTAATTTTAGCAGCTCTTCCCAGACTATCCACCAGTGCAGCTGGAGAAATCCTGCATGCCTACTCCCAGCTTTTTTTTTTTTCCTTCTTCTTCTTTTTTGGCTACACTTCAGGAAACTAAAAGCAAGCTGTTGTGGCTTCTTGCACAGTCGCAGGAAACCAGAATGCAGGCAGGACTTCATGGGAGAGCTCACTAGGGGTCTGGACAGTGGTATATCATTACCGCCCCAGCTCTGCTGGAAATACTCCACATGATACATTTGCTGCCTTTATGTAGTAATCATCTGGTAAGCAACGTGAAACGAGTTTGCTGGGGCTCAGCCCGGTTTCCCCAAAACACAAAAACCTGACACTTTATTTGTCCTCAACAAGCTCTGCAGACCCCACAGATAAGTAGCGAATTAAAGGGCCTGAACTACCCTTTCCCCACAGGCCAGTCAAATCCAGCTTTCCTATAGACCTCTCTTGCTATGGCTGCGGCAGGGAAGCCGATTTATTCTTTGAGGTTTTCAGAGTTGACACTTTTAACTTGAAATAAAAGAAGGAAAAAGAAAACAGTTCCAGAAATCTAACCCATGATTCCTCCCTAACTCTCTGCCATTCATGCAGTCAGTTACAGTGGGTCAAAATGCTACTAATCATCAAGAAACATGAGGTACGAGACAGCAGAGAATAAATCTTCTGATATACATGAGGGTCAGAACATGCCTGAGAGTGGAAGCTCAGGGAGAATAACGAGTGGGCAGACTCTGCAAAGCTTGAAAATGGAGCTAAGAGCAGGACTTCACTGTAATTTCAGAGTCCAAAATTAACTGAAAAATCCCTTACAGCGGAAAATGACTTTATGACAAAACAAGACTTTTTGTAGAAAGCGCCAATTTTGGTCAAGAATGTTTAGGTGTGCTTGCAAAGGTGAGACCATGGAACAAAAAGAAATAATTAAAAAAATTAAAAGGGGGGGAGGAAAATATACTTTCCTGACCAACTCTAACTGTAGCTCAAATGACACTCCAAAAGAAGCAAGACTTGAGAGAAATCTAGAAAAAGCACAGAAAGCTTGGGCAAAGTGACCAAAATAAGACAGTGGAAGAGTAAGACTAGAAGATGATTAAGTGGAAGAGATACATTTTCAGGGAGATAGTTCCTTCTGATCAAAGAGAAGCCAGATTTGTGCCCATTGTAGCAAGAACGAACACAAGCTGGAGTCAGTAAACCCCACAGAGAATTTCTGGATGCTGTAAGGGACCATTTCCTTAAACATAATTTACCAGAGAGAAAAAGATGGCTCATTTATTAATGGGTAGATCTGCATATTTATCTGCTTATTCCCATATGTTAAGAAGCCAGGATCCATTAGTACTTGCAGGGAAGATCTCCAAGAAAATATATTCAACCAAAAAAAATAGCAGCTCCTCCACAGTCTACCAGTTTGCTAATGCTTTAGAAGGCACCCTTCAGTGCAATCCTAACTTCTGTGTCAGCATGGCAATGACCACCGATGCAAGTTAAACCAATGCCCTGATCCCTCTTTCTTCTGGGTACAAAATAAAGATGTTACCTCTACTGCCTATTCTGCTTGTCTAGAGCACCTCACAGCTTCACCTCAACACAGTGCTCTCTTCCTGCCCTCAGTCATTTGTCAAATAGCAACGTCTCACACACAGTGTCTTCTAAGTCATCTGAAGATGACCTCCAAGATTATGCCCCTTCCTTCACTTCACTTTCTGGATGCTGACTGAGATACCTGGCAGCATCTTAATAAGCATGGCCCTTTACCTTTTGGCATTCCAGAAATTTACCCCATGCAAATCTTGCATGTAAAGCCTGGACTGATGGACAGGCACCACTGCTGAGCTCAGAGGGACTCCCAGTACCATGGTTTCAGGCCATCACATGATGCTCTCTTTCAGGCTGTCTAGACTAAATTCTGGCTGTGACTGGGCAATGCTGATGCCTGAATTTTCAGCCCGCAAGACAAATGCCTGCCCCTGGTGAATTGCTCAATGCGCAGGACGAAAAAGATGCCAAGTTCCTGCGCTCATTCCTTCCGGCTGAGCAAGAAGGGGGGAAAAGAAAGCTGCTCTTGGGCAAGAGTCCTTTTTACTTTTGTTCAGACTCCACTCTTGTCCCCTGCTCTGTTGGACAGACATGGAAAAGCTTGTGCACCTCATCTTCTTGGTTTTCTTGTCAGGTAAGAAAGCGTACAAGGCCTTGGGTTTCGGTTGAGGGAAAGGGTAAAGGACTGGTGCAAAACTTTATCTTTTCCTGCACCTAGTATGAGGTACCATAAGGCTATGGGAAAAGACTGCACAAGCCTTGAGACAAAATAGCTCGTTCTGGATGCAAAGATAATAACTTCATTGTAGCATGCAGTTCTTCAGGAGAGCAATACAAACACTTACTATGGAAAAGAGTCTTGCTGCCTGTCAGCGCACTGCAAGATCCAGTGCAATGCAAACAGAGGGAAACTAGAGCATTACAGTGCATTTAGCACCCTAGTTATCCTCGCCAGCTGAATTACAGCAATATCAGACTCTTTCATCAGATTTGGTTCTTTTCCCTTGATTTAACGAAGGGCCAGTAGCGATCCAAGCGCTCTGCTCTTCTCACAGGAATCCTTTGAGTCAAAACAGGAAATAGTCTTGACAGAAGTCTTGTGTGCCTCCTCAGAAAGTGAAATTGCAAAATCCTATTTGTCTGGCATTTGTAGGGGTTTGCATGTAAATTGCAGCAGCTAGGGTTTAAGCAGAGCAAAACAAAGCTCAAAGAAGCAGGGACATCTCTGAAATCTTGAGGACAATGAAATGAATCCTTTAAACTGGGGAGCACATCTCTGTAGAGCATGACTCTCCCACTCGGAGAGCAACGTTCATCTGAAATGAGAAACGAGGCACAGGATCCAGCTGGTATTCTCAGCTGACACCTTTCTTTCTCCAGCCTCACTGTGGAGATCCCAGATACTTAGAGCAGTGCAAAGAAAGATAACAGATTCAGGCTTTGAGAGCACAGAAACCTGTTTCAATTACGACAACAAATCTGAATGAGTTCAGAAAAAGAAGTTCACTATACTTTTTTCAGTAGTGAAGAACATGGCAGGAAAAATACAAATAGTAAATGGCCTGTCAGCAAAATTGCTCAGCAATTTACTGACACAAAGTTTTCCATGGGGTCATCAGCAAATCTTTAAATGCTATGATTCTGATCAAGAGATTTTTGCAATGCTGTTTGTGGTTAAAAAAAGAAATACCTGGGGCCATCCCATATCAGGAATGAAGAATCTGGTAGAACTAGGGGCAGGGAGGGGACCACAATAGAAATAGGAGAAGGAGTTACAATGTTGTGATGGATTACACAGGACTGGACTGGACTTGCAGGGCTCAAACATATTGAAGACTTGTAGCTGTTGGCTACTTGGAGAGCAAAGACCCATTTTTATGCTTTCCTCTAGTCAAGCCTGAAAATCCTTTTTTTTTTTTTCCTTCAGTTTACAGTTCACTCAGAATGGTTGAAATTATTTTAAGAAGCGTTATTAAAAGGCTCAGCCAGCCCAAAGTCCTCATAATAACCTATTTTTCAATTTACTTGTTTTTAGCACTACCTAGAGTTTCATAGAAGCCACTAGTGCCTGAATTGTTTTCCCTTGAAATATAGAGATTTCCATAAATACCACATTGCATTTCTCTCTGGAAGTATTACTAGTTTTGACTGTCCCTTCTCCATTTGTCTACCGTAAAGCGGAATGGAAATTAGAAAGAAGGAACTAAGGCAAGAAAGCAAAGCAGCTGAACACAAGTTGTCAACAGGACTAAAATTAGTAGGATATTAAAAGATAGGGTGAAAAAAATTGCAAAGACCTAGCGTTAAACATCAAGATTTGGATTAGGACTTAACCTTTTAACAACTAACCGGACGCTGGTTTGTAGTTGTCACTTTAATTCCAGCTTTTGCTGGGGCTGTGTTGCTTCTCCCTGGCCCTGTGTAAAGAGCCTTAAAGTAGGGATAAAATTCATGGGCATTTACTGCAAAGGATATTTTCAGCAGCAGAGAGTACTCTCTTTTCAGAGCCAAATCTGCATGTACGAACATATGTGGAAGGCCACAAGGCTGCAACCTGAAGCAAGCTGCCTTGCCTGTATCCAAATAAGCAGCTTGGATGCTGCAAAGAAGTGGTGTGTTGTGACAGCAAGAACATGTCTACCTGAGAGTTACTCAGAAAAAGTTTGACGTTATTCGGGCAACCCCTGTTTTTATGAGCTGCCTTGTATAAAGAGCTTTTGAAAAATCAAGACAACTTGCCTGGTCCCAAGACAATATACTTGAATGTCCAGCTTCATGCTCCTCAGGACCAGTGGAATACGCAGGTTTATATCTAATCCTTTAGTCAGGCTGACAAATTGCCTCCTCTTACTGGGCAGGATCCCAATAGCTACAGAAACCATGGCGTGGCTGAGTTCCAGACTGCAATCCAGGGCAGGCATCACAAGGCCAGAAGGGAAAGACAAGAACCAAAATTTGCTGAGCTTCAGAAAATCTGCAAATATTAATGAGGACGATACGTCCACCCTCCTTTAGTCCCTCACAAAAGAACGCCTTCCTGGCAAGAGCCTAATGACATACCCATTAGAGGGATCAGTGTAGAAATATTTCAAGAAAGTCTGAATAAAGACTCTGAATCTGGACACGTTCATCTTTCACAAGGGAGGTGGACAGGTGTCACAGCCCTACAATAAAGATTCTACTGTAGATAGCAGCCATCACTAGAGCTGTAGAAGAGGAAAAAAATATTTGTTTAGCATGAACATAGTGATAAGAGATAGGCATGAGAGAGACTTGGCTTATGGCTTCCTCCTTCTGTCCCAGCACCCTGTGCTGCAGAGAACATCACTGTGGTCTATGGAATGGAAGGTGGGACCGTTTCCATCAACTGCACCTATAACCCCTGGCAGCAGCGGTGGAGAGAAAAGAGCTGGTGCAAGCAGGTTGATGAAATCAAGTGCCAACATGTGGTGAGTGCCCGCCGCTTCTGGCTGCAATTCCTGAAGAACAGGAATGGCACCACTTCCATCAGTGACAATGTCCATGAAGGGGTCCTGACAGTGACCATGAAGAGACTCAAGAAGCAGGATGCTGGGCTGTACCACTGCAAAACTGACTACTTAGGAGAAACAAAGACCTTAAGGAAGGTGCAAGTGGAAGTGCTGACAGGTAGGTCCTGGGGCTCTGAGTTTCATGAGTTCACAAGTTCCTACTTAAATTTCAGGCATGTCTGCAGATGCCAGTGCCTCGCTCTGGCAAACATCTACTGTTGTCTGACCTGTCTCTGTACTTCATATGCCTCTTTCTAGTACCTGATTTACAGCAACATGACCTCACTGTTGCAGGACATCCAATGCATGTCTCTCCCCTTATCAGCACCCAGATTAATCCTTTGGCACATAGCCCAGTGCCCAATCTCACCTTGGTTATCTATGCCTAGCTGAGATACTGGAGTTGGTAACATCAATGCATATCACCTTTAAACACTTGCAGACTAAACTTCTCTGTTTTCTAGTACCAGGTATAGTGCAGACTGAAATGCTAGAGGAGCCTAGTGCTGTGCAGAGCATCTCCAGGTAAATCATAAAACTCCTTCTTATGCTGTGATCTCTAACCTTCCTAGGGCTGAAACAGATTAGCATTTGCACCTCCTTTGAAGCTGAGGAGAATGCACCATGTCATGTTCTCTACTTCTTCCTAATCCATGAAAACTTCCAGACCTGCTGTGTGGTTTCTAAGTAGCAGCTGTTTCCTAATCCTGAAAAAGCACCATTTCAATGCCAGGCAAAATAATTCCTGCAGATCATAATGAATCTATATGTGAAATCTTACAGTTAAAAACTATTATATTTGTTCTAACCTTCCAGATTCTGTTGTGCGCAGGTAGGGCTGCCTAGCGCAAGGGATGTTATTATCTTTGCATTGTATATTGCCAAAATGCAAGAGTTTCTTTAAAGGTTGAACCATGCCCTTCCTAGTTAAGCCTCACTGTTGTATTTATGGTTCCCCACAGCATCCCTCCTGAAGCTGATTTCACCATCTTCTATGTCATTACCGGATTCCTGGTTACTAAGTTCCTGGTGGCTGTGCTGATCTTTACTGTTGCCAGCAGCAGGAAAAACAGAGACACCGACACAGAGGAGAAGAACCAGAGCCTCAATGAACAGCAGATCCTCCCTTTCCCTGCTGGCCTGGCTGAGCATGCACGGGATAGAATCAGCCCCTCCTGGCAAAACACTGCTTAGAGTTGATCCAAAGACAACAGCGAATTGCACGGCAAAGGACGTCAAACATTCACAGGCAAAGAAAGCTTTGCCACCAGCCATAAGGATCACCTACTAAACATAGGTAGCAATGAACCTATCACTCTGGTGAGGGAATGCCAGGACCTGTCACTTTTTCTCATTGCCTCTGACCCATATTTTTTTCAACACAACAGAACTGAAAAGATGCTGCCAGTAACCCCTGAACCTGATGGAAGGAGACGGGAGCGGGGGCTGGAGGGGAGGGATTATATAAAGTATTTCTGCCAAGAGATCCAGCACAGACTTGCCTGCATGCAGAAATGCTTCTGCAGGAACAGGAAAGGTGAGAGCGCGCTTCTCGGTTCTCCTCTAGCCCAGTGCCAGGCCAGATAAACCTTTGCTGCTCTGCACAGCTACTGACAAATGCTTTGTTATAAATTATTACTTACAGACTACAGACACATCAGTGACTATAAACAGAAGTTCAAGTGATGCCTCTCAACCACCACATGTTTTTGGGAGCAGTTCACAAGCTCTGTAAAATACTCATCCATAAGATGAGTAAGAAAGGAAAAACCTTACTGTGTCTCAAATCTCCAAGGAATTTTAGATTAGTGTTAAAGAGCTAATATCTCTACAAAACCCCTGAATGTTTCCACCCAAAAGCATGAAATATAGCCAGTAGTGGATGGTTTGTATAAAAAACTAATATTACTATGTGTCTAGAAATCAGCTTTGTAACTGAGATTCCTCCCTCTAAAGGCTGAAGCCATTATCATAGCGATGGCAATGCAGTTCTGCAGAGGCGCCAGGAACTGCACCATACCACAGGCAGAGTTATTCCAGATGGTCATCCCTAGTATCGGTCCAGTAGGGTCTGAACAGAGACCCATCAAGTTCATGTCATCTCAGAGTCTTCAAGGTGTTGAACGGACTCGCTCCCAAAGATTACCTTGGACAGTGTGGATCTTTGCTGTATAGTTGCTATGGAAAGGCATAACGAACTGCAAAACATAACAGAATGAGATGTGAAATCTACACTTAGCTCTGAGCCTGCTTCCTAGTTTCTCAAGTGATTTTGCAAAGAATGAAGTGTTTTGCTGTATTTCTCCCTGAAATTTTTCCACTCGCTTAGGGGGATGTTACCAACATGTGATCATTGCTCATCGCTCCCAAAAGAGAAGCTACATTTGGAGCTACCAGGAAGAGTTCTCATTATATAATGCTGAACTTCACAAAAAAATTAAAAGTCAACAAGCATTCAACTAAGCCCACTTTTCTTCTCCAAACCCACATGTGTGCATTCACACTTCTTTTCCCTACAAAAAAACCCTACATTGCTTGCAAAGCTAAATAAAATCAACTTTGATTATCCTGCTTCGTGTGACTTCATGATAAAGAGCTGGAGTTCATCAGATCATAATATATCAGCTACAGAAGAGGTAACCCTTAGAACACGCTGGTGTGTTTATAACATACAGATATGCTCTGAGACACCTCTGAGCAGCCTGACACATCCAACCAGCTCCATTTAGCAACATGCAGAAACAGCAGCTCAGCTGCTGTTCAGGGTTGTGTTCTGCCTAAACTAATTCCTTTGGCTTCCAGAGGGTAAATTAGCCCGTATAGAGTCACACGCCAATGCAGCTGTGCTGCCAACACAAAGCTAGCTTTGGTATTCCCAGATGGTACTGTAGTGCCCAGCGTAGACATATGCTATAAGACAAGGGAATTGCTCTTCTAACCAGGAGGTCTGGGTCCTATTCCCAGTTTCGATCTGTTGAGAGACCTCAGGTAGAGCCATTCACCACCTCTGCTGTGGCAGCGGGCATAACGTTGGTTCTCCACCACCACACGAATGCTTTGAGAAAGAGCGGTGGAAAACTTGCATGGAAGTGCAAAGCTGCAGCAATGAACAACATGTACAACTGAAAGCTGCTCTGTAATGTGTTAAGGTGGCACTAGAGACAGAAAGTGCCTATTTCTTTTCCAGCCATACAGCTTGATTGCTAAATATGGCTATCTAGACAGTGATACCTTTAAAGTGAAAAGCAACCAGTAAACATTACGCAGCCTTCCCATACTTAAAAGTATATTAAAATTGTGGTTAAAAGATCTTCTCAGCAACTCCCAACTGGCATCATCACTCTGGGGCAGCAGATGATAGTAAGTGACAAAGCAAATTAGCTTCCTCAACACTAGAGAATTTCTCAGTGATAAAGAAGCTGTGGGCTACATTTTTTTCCTCCATGACCTAAACTACTTTCTGCTTCAGGATGGGGGGTTTTCCAGCCCTGCTGCTCTTGCTGGCACTACCAGTTAAGGCTCAGAGAGCATCAATTTTCTTCTTTCTTTAGAAGGATCACGCATGGCAGGAGAGGACCTGCAAGTGTTTCTGCAAACAGAGGGAGAGTCCTTCAAAACTAACTGCTCATCTGACACGCACAAGAGTTTACATGAGATGAAATTCTGGTGCAAGGAGCTATCAGAGAAATCTTGTCCAGTCTTAGCCTCGAGTTCCCCTTTAACAGAAAGGATGAACCTTAACCATGCGCTGCGTCGTTCAGTCGACCAGACAGACATTGGACGTGGCTGGATTTCTGTGATCAAGAGAGCACTTCGAAGAGACGATTCTGGCATATGTTATTGTGAGGTTTGTGTTGATCTGCAGAATAATCTACTGCAAAGAATACAGATGATGGTTTCAGCTGAGGGTGAGCTATGAGGTCAATGTTTCTGACATGACTGAAAAACAGAAAAAATCACAAGTATCTTTTCTCTAAGAGATTTCATTTCTAACAGCATTCAATGCCCAAATAAGCACCTCAGTTTTCCTATCTTTTTCTCTAAAATGGTATGACCTTTCATAGCTTACTCTATCTCTTCTAAAATACTTGGCTCCTGCAGTAGCTGTCCTTTCCCTCTGATCTGTTACAGGATCCAAACTTGTAAAGGAAGCAGAAGCCAGATCTAATTTGTCCCTCTGGCCACGATATAATCATTGAATAGTTAGGTTTCCAAAGCATGATTCAGCCAAGCAGCAAATTTTTTGCAAGACTTAAAAAAACATCAGAGGACCACAACCCAAAGGATAGGAAACTGGATTCACATTATGTGCATTTTTGTCCTAACCCTGCTACTAGCCCTCTGGTTGGGCTTGCGCTAGATGTTCTCATTTAGACATTTGATAACAGGTACTATTCAACAACTTAAAACTCTCAGCTCTTTCCTGAGGAGCTGTTTGATTCCATTCAAGTGGCTCAACTGCATTAATAAAGATTCTTCTTTGGTAAATAGTAAAGGGTGAACATTCTTGAGCAGCTTCGCAGTTTCACGGCTAACAAGCAAGCAGCAACACTGGAGCATCCTGCAAGCCTCCAAAGCAGGATTTTTTAGTATGAGGGAAAGTCACCAGGGATGGAAGTATGTGGGAATGTCACCTGCTGTTGTGTTTTTTCAAGGGGAAAATTGGAATCTGGATGCAGATTCAGAGGCCATTTCATTTCCCACTAAGAAGTGGGGGACTGCCAAGCCCATAGATGAGAGCAATATAGACCAGCGGTTAAACAAACAAACAAGCAAGCAAACAAACTTGAATACACTGCAGAATTTGAGTACTCCTCAAGTACTATGAAAATCTGTAGAAGGCTCTATCGGTTTCAGAAGCACTAGTTGAGGCCTCAGCTGAAGATGCTCAGTTTGACCGTGTTCTTCCTTTCTGCCTACTTAAAAAGGGATGACTATATGGCCCATGCAGCACCGCAATGTCTCTGCCTCTTGTACGAGCAGCTTAGCCTGAGACCAACCCCAACTGAACAACATAGCAGGTCAGATGAGAGTCATTACCAAGCCTGATCAAAGGAGACCCTAACAGTGATCCTGATCAAAGACAGACCCTGAGAAGGGCTACTGCATCCTGATGAGGGATGCCTTTGAACTCTAGTAGCACTTCAAGTGAGTGCAGGAAGAGAATTTGAGCTCCCGAGTGCTCCTCAGACTTGCCACATCCCAGTTGGGCATGATCCTCTGTGGCAGTAGAACACTGCTGACCTCAATGGAACCATATCTGTTAGGGACAGCAAGAGTAGTATTTGCATGCTACATTTTTATCCTGGAACCATAATCCTTTTTCAAACACACAAAATCCCCTCCCAAATCAACCTAGTCACCTCTGGTGCTGTAAATAGTAATGTTGATATCATGCCCTTCCCTGCAGGAATCTTTATGCTGTCATGCTGCTGAGTTCCCTCCTGGCTACAACTGCTCTAATTGCTACTGTGTAGTCCTTGCCACCACTTACATCATAAGGAAAAAGGCAGGTAAAGCTCCCTAACCCTCTTGCCTAGTTTTCCTACCTTTAGGGGTTGTTTTCCCACCCCCCTGAATGTAAGGAAGGTCTATTCATAGGTGTCATTGTCCATGGAGGCAACGAGACTGAGCTGAAAGCAAAACGCAAGATGCAAGTTGAACATAAAGGGAGGGAGAGGGGGGTATTCACTTTTAAAGTGAAAAGGTAAAGGTGTGGTTTTACAATCAAAGAACATTCTCTCCTTCCTGCCAGGAAAAGGGATGGACTTTGAGAGACCTCCTGCTATCAGACAAGCAGCGCTGCAGGTAAGAGGGCATCAGAATTTCCACATTCTTTGTGCTTTGTTTCATCTCTGCCATGCGTAGTTAATAGACATAGAAGGGAGAGATGGAAGGACAGCGAGAAGGATTCCCATTGTCCGTGCTCACTTTTGCCATCAGTAAAGCAGCTATGCTCTGCAGTCTGAGTTACAAGGATAGATGTATCCAGCTCATTCTGGTCTAGCCAAGCTCACTGAATAATAGCAATGATGCTGGGGTCCTGTGGGCTTCACCTTGAGCTAGCCTTGCCAGCTCTGCGTTCACCACTCAGCAGGTGTTATAAAGCACGGAGCAGCATGCATCCTACAGTGGATGCATTGCTATGAACACTCAGGCTAGCAAGACTGAAGTTAGCTGTCTATACTTGTGATCATCTGACTTCTGGCTGCAAAGTGGACACGAGCTAACTCAATTGCTTGAGTAAGTCATATCCCTTCTGCACATCTTTATTTATATTACCCAGAAAATAAATATAATTACAAATAAATAACTTAAACATTTATTGGCCTTGGATCTTCAGTAACATCAGCAAAGTTTCATATCAAAGGAAAACTTCACTAGTTGCAATCCCCCTAAATACACAGTGTGCTAACTGTTGCTGCACCTTTCTACCCAGGCCTTTAAATATTAGGGAGCAGAGCGTTGTCTAAAAGAAGTTCTCTGAACTTCTCTGAGGATACTTTCCATTTTCCCAGGCATCCTCTCCCCTCTTCTGCCGTTTTAGGATATAAGGAATAAATATTTGTATTTGTAGATAAACTAAGACTAATAGTTGGAAGCAAAAAAAGCTAAATTTCTTTTTAACTTCTCATTCTTCATGATTTTTTAAAAGGATATAAGAAACAAAGCAAGCAGAATGCCAGATGGGGAACTGAAGCACAATGTAGTATATGCTGTGATAAGGCACCAACCTCAACCAAAGTCTGAAGATGTTATATACATCAACATACAGCCTTCCCCAAAAGTTTTCTTCCACCTTCAAGAACCACCAGGCAACTCAGTTTCCTCAGGGCCTGTGGAATATGCTACTGTTATTTTTCGAGCCACAACTTCTCATTCTGGAACCGAAAAAAAACAAACAGGTCCACCTAAACAAAGCAGCACGAAGCCTTGGACTTATTCATGACATTTTTCTGACCTGTGCTCAGAAACAAGCTATTTGTAAGCAATTGCTGAAGCAGGATACAAATGGAGTGCGAGGCAAAAGGCAGCAGAAAGGATGCAGCACACAGATGTACAGAATTGCCCTGAAGAAAATAACGACACTTTTCTAATTGCACAGCATCACAGTTCAACTGTTGATAAGCAAATCCAGTGGAAGGCTGGGATATATTTGCTTTCTTTAAATTGCTCTATTTTTAAACAACAGGCAACTATAAACCTAAATACAGGAAAACTGGCTTTCTCTGATACCAACTGCCACAATGTCCCAGCCAGCAAAGGACAGTGAGATATGGGAACACGATACACTTCCTTTCATGCTTGCAACTTCTCCAACAGCTCACTTACATATACATATATAAAATGTTAATCACCCCCCACGCTCACAAGGCCCAAAATAGCAAAGTATTAAGGAATCTGCTTAACTTCAAGCAGGAGTTCTTTGGCTGATTTCAGAAAGACAATTCACACAATCGACATGTTTTTATAAACAAGTGTCTTGTTGAAAAACATTTGTTTATATTATAATATCAAATGTCTTAAATTTAAATACATGGGTACAGAATTACTGGTACTAAGCATATAACTTTGTATTTCCGTAGACTTTGGTGGTTGCTGTTTTTTAATGTTATTTCCATGCTACAATATAAATTATCTTGACTTTATTGCAAATTACACATATTTTGATCAAACAGCTGAATCCCATTATCATGGTAATAGGTGCAAACATCTGTGAAGGATTACAGATCAATCTGAAAATTCATCTGACTGAGATTCTCATCTTAGCCTGTGAGTTGGGCCCAAGGCTGCTGAATATGATACAAAAATGCCCTTTTTGGGTATTAAAGATTAGAGGAAGAATCCAACTTAGGTACTGGGTGGCATGGAAGGAAAGGATTGTGAAAACACAGAGAAAAGCAATCCATGAATTATGTAATTTGTGTACAAACTCCACTCTGCTCATGAGTTCTCATGCAACTCTGAGGAAGGAGGGAGGAAAGAAGGGAAGAGGGCAGGACGGAGAGAGAGAAAGAGAGAACCAACAAACAAACTTCTGTTGCCTGGGCTGATGGGGCTGTCAACATCTTTTCCATTTCATCCGAGATGGTTGTCTGGCAAATCATCCTTATCCATAGCTGATGTTGACCCTCTATTACAAACTCTCTGAAAACAAAGCTAGAAATAACATTACTATAATAGCTGAAGAGGTCAATTTTTGGCTTCCTAAACATAGAGTCTCGCATGATTGCATTCCTCACTTCCTGTCCTAACTTCCTATTTTCTGTTCTTGTATACTGCTATTTCCTTCCCCTCCCCCCCGCATCACTGCATTGACCAACTCTGGAAAGAATTAATGACTGACACCCTTGTGCTTGGGGCCTTTTTGTGAGATGGCAAAACCGTTTGTGTGGGGACCATAACATTAGGGTCTGAAATGATACCACAATAAGAAAGAGCAATGGTTAATGTATTAGGCTTCAATACCCAAATTCAATTCCTTATTTAGTGTGCTTGCCTCTTTGAAAGCACCTAAAACTCCACGTACCCAAGTTGGTTATCTGGATGCAATGGCATACACAATAAAAGCTCTGAGGTGCTCAGATTCTAAGGCAATAGGAGTGAAATACCTAAGTCACAACAGAAAGGCAAAAACCAGTATACACCAGTAAGTCTACCAAGCTGAAAATTCACTGTCATATGAAGCTAAGGATATATCTAGGGGCAGTTTACCTCTATTGATGGCATCAGTTCTCTACCACAAAATCTAAATATGTAACTGCCTGTTCTAAAACAAGAGACACAAGAAATATTCTCAAGTCTTTCTCAACTTGAAGCATCTTACAAGTATTTTCCTCCTGTTCAAATGATGGAGATTTGCTAGTAACCTGAACAGCCTAAAACGAGGACAGAATTATCTGAAGACCTGGCTTAGATTTGCATGTTTGGTAGTTAAGATAGGAAAGCATTAGTAGCCCATCCAATCCACTTTTTAGACGTGGAACTGCATTCAGGAAAGCTCTAACTTACCTACAAGGAACCTCTGGACATCTGGGGCATTACAAACCTGCCACGTCCTCAGATGAGCCTGATGGATACAGCTAGTTGGTGACCTAGTTCTATATTGGCTGTCTGAATAACAATGTAGATTGGTGTCTGGATAATGTCTCAGAACTCTTCCCAGCTTATCCTTCATTTGATGGTACTGGAAATAAATTTGCAGTGTTCTAGAAACTGGGCACATGACATGGACATGGCACATCTAACAACGTAAGAGGACAGGAGATTTTAGGAGATCAAGGCTATTGGTCAATACACTTCACTCTAGTGCCTCCAGACATCTCTGTCCTTTTACAGGATGTAGTTAAAACTCACTCTAAATCTAAGCATTTTCAGCAGCCTTTGCTGAAATGTTAATCTGTTTCTTCTTTGTCTCCCTTCAACAGCAATACACAGTAACAGGACTGTTTTCAACTTTAATAGGCAGTAAAAGTACATCCATACCAGTAATGGCTGGGCTGCTACATCTTTTACCACCTGCTGAAGGCAAAGAGTTCTTGCCCTAAGTAGACTACAAAAACAAAACAATGATATAATAAACTACACTCTATAGATTCTGCAATACTCGTTGTTACTGTCATCTGAGTATCTTCCAGTAGCTGATTTGCAAACTGGGTAAATTTTGCCACATGCATAAGAAACCATAGAGACTTGAATAAGAGATACAGAGATGGAAAAGACAACGTTTTATTTGCCACTATATAAATCATCCAATTTTGCTCCATGTCTTCAAAGATCCAGAAAAAACAAAATGGGAAAGTAAGCTGCATTTTGGATCTACTGCCTGGGAACAAAATAATGGAGACCAAGGAGTCTCCTGCTAGACAAAGGAAAGTTAGCCCACTCCTCTTCCTCTGAACGGCACCAAAACTCGAGAACGTTTTTGGAACAAATGTTTGTCAGTAACTCCTTGAAGTACAAAGAAACCCTGAAGTTTTGTTGCATGGGGAACCTAAGGAACAGAGAAAAATCCATCACTCACCAGGCCTAGTTACCTCACATTAGTAGCACAGAATTTTATTCATTCTATTCACTTTTGAACACCTGATCAATTGTTCTCAACTTCCTGCCTTACTTCTCCCCCATCCCCAGCAATTGCAAAATATTGATTACCGAAAAACAAAACTAAGCAAGGACAAGATCCTGGCAACCGTGACTAGCTCAGGATTAGCAGATATAAGAACTTCTCTCCAAAGTAAGGGATCGCTTTAAATTAGTCTGCTCCTGGTCTTGTTAGGGAACTGAAAAGAATTTCAAATTTAAAAAAAAAAAAAAAAAGCTGTAAAAAGCAGTATCTGAATGACTTTGTAATCAGATAACCTATTATGATCAGAGGGCATTCTCTCCAAACCTATGATGCCTGTTTATTCCCTTGGGCACTGCCGTTTATGCTCTTCTGCATTCATGAATCTTCAGCTGTGCTGTCCTTGGGGATTTATTCTGCTCTATTTGCCAACAATCACATTTCCAGTATTTCTGCATTTCACCATGACTGCAGAGCTGCCAGCAATTCAGTGACCGAAAACCTGGCCAGCTTTCTTCAGGACCCATACTGATCATCAACTTGTGGGGCCTTTGCAGCACATAACGACAGTGTCTGAATTAGGAGGCTAGACTGCCTTCTAAGACTGCCTAAGAGTTCTATATAGAAGATAACCCCAAACAGCGGGATCGAACTGGAAGCTCTGAACAGCCTGCTGGACGAGCTTCACTCCCAACTCCCCTAGAGGGACGCTATCCTCTTAGCTTAGGCACTTAAAACCAAGCTGTTTTACAGATAGGGTAAAGATAGGCTGCTCAGTTCACTCTGAAAACACTATTAAGGCATCCACTGCAGGAGAGAGAAACACAATGATACTGGGGACACAAGTTTTCTTTTTTGTAGTCTGCTGCCAGCTGGTGATATTCAGGTAGGCTCTGAACCTCTGCTGGTGGAGAGCTGATTTTTGCATCAGCAAAGGCAGAACCCAGCTCTAAGAACAGCAATAGCGACTACCGTTCTTTCTAAAGCGTATAGCTACAAATACCTGTGAGGTTCAACGTATCCCTTCTTGCAAGAACACAGAGAAGAAATTAGGTACAGCATGATGTTTTGTTTCTTACACAGTTGCTTTTATCCCAAAGAGCTTTAAAACTGTAAATACACACAAGAACTATTTCAATAATACTCTGATAACATACAACTACTTTCTAACACACAAAAAGACTGCCTAACTGTGCAGGACCTCATTCTTGATAATAGTATTTATCATATTCTTAATGTTTCAGTTACAATACTGCCAAGAGATCCTGAGCAGCATGTGTGGAAGAAATAGCATGCCCAAGAGGGATTAGTAGACAGACACAGAAGCTGAGTATCTCTTAAACCTTTGAAAGCCTGCCCAATCCTCTTAAGAGGAAAACTTCCTTTTGTACCAAACCATAAGAAATAAGGCCTTTGTAAGGGTGTCCATTCAGTTATATTTGGACAAAGAGGTAACAACATGATATTGAAGTTTGAGGACAAGAAAAGACGCCACCTTCGTGGAAGGTAACAAAGAACATAAAGGTAGGAATGTCTTGGGGGGGAAAAAAAGGCATTGGGGTAACAGGCAGTTCGACTGCCTTCGCTTACGCTTATGTGACTCTGAACAGATGCCGTTGCTGCACCAATTAGGCACTCCCTATGCTCCAGGGAAGCTTTCTATCATCACTGGATCCTCCTGCAATTCCTCCTGAATTATCCTTTCAGGGATAATTATTCAAGGTGTGCAATGAGTCCTCCAACAAAAGCATACACAAGATGGAATTGCCACCCCGAGGCACTTGGGCTGTTAGGCCAACGGATATCCAGAAGATGGTTAGCTAAGGAAGGGACATGCTGTGAGTACTGGGCACGTTTCTGTTATGAATTAAAATGTTAATTTTTCTTTTAAATAATAATTACAGCAGATCCTCTTTCCTCTCTGCCCGAAGACTCACCTAATGTTCATTTTCCCCACGCTCGGGCAGACACGTGAAAGCAACGTTGGCCAGCTTGACGCAGCCTTCTTTCCTCCCCCAGCTCAGCAAGGCCATTTCCTCAGCCAAGGGGGTGACAGCGGCTGTCCCAGCACCAGAGCAGTGAGGTCTGCAGAGGCCAGGCCTGCTCTCACCTTCCCCGGCTCCTGCCACCTGCCCAGCAGCCGCCATCTTAAGGTGCTGCTGCCCCAGCCTGGGAGGAAGAGCAGGGGGCCAAGATGGAAAACGGGCCTCTTCACTGGCCAATCAGCGCTGACCTAGGTCAACCCCCACCCAATGTGCATTCGTGGCTGGACAGCCCAGCTTCCCTCAGCCAATCAGCTTCCACTGCTCACTCACCAGCAGCCAGGCCTCGGGGGCAGAACAGTTGCCTCAGACACCACCTCAGGAGCGGGAGCTGCCATTTTGCTGCTGGAGAGCGACAGAAGAGAAAACAAAAAGGTATGTACCGGCTTCTGAAAGATGTCCAGGCCCTTCCTCATGGGGCATGAGAGCAGCTGGCAGCGCCCTGCGGCCCCCTTCCCCTCCCTGGGGTGAGGGAGGGCGGCAGAGCTGGAAACCGGCCTGCTGGCGCTGCCCTCTCCCTCCGTGCCGGCACTTAACTGGAAAGAGCAACAAGACTGGAAAACAGAGCTCAGGCTAGTTCTCAGTTTATAAATTTTTATTAGCTGGATAGTGTACACAGTACTTACAATTGCATCTATTAAAGACCAAAATACACTTGAAAAAATGCATCATATAAAAAAAATTATAAACTTTTAACTATATACAAACTTTGCCTTACATTATGCAAATCTCAGTACCCCCCTCCCGTTCACAAAGTAAGAATTTTTTTCTCTCTCCTTTTTTTTTTTTTTAAAGCATGCAAAGCCTTGAAGCCATTTAACATCATCACACCCCATTCTTTACACTTGTATAAAACTGGGTTTTGATAGGTTCGCTGCTCCAGTGCTCTCCGGGTCAATCGACCAGGTTTTTTATTCTCCCCAAGACCATTCTTTTATCCTCATCACTCTTTTATGCACCTCCGAAGTGGAGTTTTTGCTCAAGTGTAGCCAATCCATGAAGAATTCTCATTTAATTACTAGAGGTTTGAACTTGGTGATGTTTCCAATCTTATAAATTTATCCAAGAAAAGAAAGACTTTTTTGGTAACACGGTATTGACTAATATCTCCAATCTCACCAAGCAAATACTACTTTTAGAAGTGAATACACGTAACCCAAAGTAAATGAAAAATATGACAGTAGCACTCAGGCTTTCACATCACTATTGAAAGTATTAACGATAAGACTTCCTACGTAACACAAATCCATAGGTCTTAATACATATTCTACAACAACAGATCAGAGAACCTATATATGAAGGGCTTACTGGGAAAAAAGTTCTAGATGTTTTGAAGAAGTTTACAGGTTAAGAAAACAAGTAATTACTCAGTTTAAAAAAAAAAAAAAATTCAGAGCAATAATCTCTGCTTCCCTAACTTCCAACTGTCAGAGGGGGTTCCTTCAGGACAGAGACTAGCTGTCAGGTGAAGAGCAGAAATCTTATGGAGATGCTGTCTTACTCCAGCACAGAAATATTCCTCCAGCACATGAATACTTTAGACTAACAAAATGTACAGATGCTCTTAAAAAGTATTTACAATAATGTCGTAAATTCAACTAAAGCAAAAGTTTCATTATTCCTTCACTAGAAGAGAGCTACATTTTTCCTGAAATGGGTGACCTCACATGAAATGCTAGGTGAGGATTTCATAGTCGCCAACTGAAGAAAATAAGCACCATGCTCTAATTGGCCAAGTATTTTAAGGCGGAAGCAACCAAAGGCACCAAAGATGCCAGCAATGCAATGGAGGTAACCAAATGCCTTTTGACTAATTAAAAAAAAAAAAACTCAAAATGTAAGATTTGTGAATAGAGTATTAGATTACTAATCTAATTTAAGACAAAATAACAAGGTTCCTTTATCTACAGATAGGACAAGGTTTCCACCTCCTCCCATAGCTGCAGGTCTCACTTGTGTGTAGAACAGCTTCTTGCTCAGCTTTAAGTTGCAATGTCAACTGTGGTAACGCTAAGAACATGAAACTGGAAATTCAGCAGAGGAGATCCTGAACTTAATTTAGAAAATCCAGCGGCCTAAACACACATGCCAAATCTGCATTTCTTCTTTGTACTTTCAATGGCAAGAGTCTGAGTACCTTCACAGATGGCTGACCTAAACATTGCCTTAACATCTAGGCAGGCATACTCTCCCTCCCAGAATGCAGCATCGTACATTTCTCCCTGTTCCTGCTTCCTGCTCTTGCATTCTATCCCATCTGCTTTTACTCTTTTAGGTTTAGTATTTTTGTCTTTTATCCAAAGTAAATACAATTTTGATGGCTCTGGTTTTTTGTACCCTTCCAGCCTTTTATCATCTGCTAATTTTTCCTCCAATCTGCATGAATTGTAACTTTAGCCGTAAGCTTTCAATGAATGGAAAAAAAACATGACCAGTATTCTCTCCCTCCTATATTTTTCCAGATTGCATTTGCTTTGTCACTTTAAGCAGGTTTTGCTGAATTTAAACTAGTCTCTCCCCTCTCTAGCTATTTTCCTCAGTAAAACCTCTCCCTCTGCTACTTTCCCTTTTCAGATTCATAATCTCCTCCCTCAGTCACAAAGCCTCGACATACTTCCAACTCCATACTTAACTGTAGTGATGCAGTTTTAATTGCAGAACTCAAAAATTGAAAGAGATGGGATTACAGCATGCAGGTGATATGTAGCCAGTCTACATAACTCATTCAAGGTGGGAGGAAATGGACAGGGAAAGATGCACGTACCACCTGTTAGGAGGCTTAAGAACTACAGGTTCCATTGCCAACTTTCAAGTCGATAAGAATGGACCAAGTTTAAAATTTGTAAATTAGCTACTGAATTAAAGACAAAGATTATGTATTGTCAAGGTATTCATCCAGAAGCCAGCTAAAGGTCATGAAAAATGCCTTTTTAAAAAGCAAGCATTCTTTCTTCATTCTTTAAGTGCCACTTTTATCTAAAATAGGGTATTCTGTTAGAAAGCCTGACAGGTTCATCAATATCTGCCTTCATTTGTTTAACAGTCCTTCAATTATATCAGGATGAGCTCAGTTGAATTGTACTGTGTTTCTGCTGTCATGAAACAATCCCTCACTCTGTGTAGAATCAGAGAATTGCAGAACTGGTATCAGGAAACACAGTCTCAAAGGTGGTCAAGTCGTATCAATTTGAGATTGCAGATTTTACTTCTTTTAGAAGAACCAAGCACTGCACTGGCAACTTAGAAGGAAGATTAAAAAAAAAAAAAAAAAATCTTTAGAAGAGACTCGCTTAGAACATTTGATCCTTTTTATATTAGCATCTGCTTTTTCTTCCAAAGTGTCAATTACTGGCAATAAACATATCAAAAAATACCTATGCAGACTGCTTTTTCTAATTATATTTTCATACTCACATCCATGACCTTCTCCCCGTTTATTCCTTGAAACGGATATGCAATAGATCAAGTCTTGTAACAATCTTGAACTATTTCTATCGTTTTGACTGGATGGCTGAACTTTTCCCAGAGAAGGGCTTGCTGTTTACATATTTCACAGGATGGAGCTTGAAACCCCCTTCAGTTTTGCCAGTTTCAGAAGTGCAAATGCAACAGCAGTAAACAGTTCAGCTGACAGTAAGTCCAAAGTTGTAAGGAGTAGATGTAAATAACAAGTCTCTACTGGGAAAACAAAGCACCGTGGTGAAGCCATGTCAGTGCTGGTTGCTATAAACTGAATTATGTCTCTGTACAGAAGGGCCATAACTCCAACAGGTCTTTGCTGGCCCTGCTTCAGCATGCCAGAGTTATTGCTGATCATCAAGTCAGCGGCACTCTCACCCATGGCCAACCTTAATGCAAGAGATTACAAAAAAAAAAACCCAAAACAAGGTATGAGCAGTCAGACTTTGAAATCCCTGCGCTGGATCAGAAGAGTATACCAATGAAGTCATTAAGTTTCTATTTGTTGAGTCCACTGCAGTTAAAATCTCAGCCACATACTGAAAAAGTGGTGTTTGTTCTGTAGAAAAGGATAGGCTGTGATATGGCGATTGTCCCATTGAAAGACTTGCTTGATACACTGGTAAGGTAAGACAGACTTGCAGAAGGGACAGGAATTGTATTCAGTTATTTTTTTCTTTAGGTAGTGGTTAAGAAACTCTTATCATCTGTGTCATTGCTTCTTCATTGGCCTGAGATGGATCCTACAGATACAAAATACATACAATGTTGTAACTTCAGCAGTTTTCCATACAGAATCACGCACAACTCCCTTTATCAAAAGATACATCTACTCTCTCCCTTGATCTCTGAGCACATCACATTTTCAGCTGGGTTTTATAGGTGAGTGGAAGAGAACTGGATTATATAAATCTTAACGGTTCCTAAGAACGCGTTGTTTCTGCTACCTGGGAAGACCTAGTATGGACCAGTATATGGAAGGATTTCACTTCAGAATAAGAAACATTCATCTGCTAGAGCCACAGGAATACTTTAAAGCACGAACGCACAACAGTATTTGCTATTTTCACTCTGTTATGTTCCCTCCTTTGAAAATTTATCTTGTACATTTTACTTAAAACAACATGCAACTAAGAATCAAATATTCACATTTTTCAATTTTTCATCAGATGCAAGGCAAGTTGCCTCTTCCTTTAATTCAAGTCCTAAGAGAAGACTTAATGGTATCCAATCAAAAAAGACGAGCTGACTGTATTTCTTAGGACAAACAACAAATACAAGCATTCTCTGTTTGTAAACCAAAATGAATAATTTTCTATTAAAGTTACTTTAATCTAACTGCTCGAGGCAAATAGATGCTTGGTCTCTACAAGAAGTAAGAGATAAGCTTTCTTGACAATGCCTGAAACAAATCCAGATGCAGAGAGGGACAAGGACCAGCAATCTAGCCCAAAAGAACAAAAACAGTAGAAAGACAACCCTGAAGTGTATTATTAAGAAGTGAACGTGTCAGCTGTCCAAAGAACAAAGGTCTGCTTACCTGCATATGCGGACTGTCTTTTTCCTTTGGTGAGAAGAAACGTCCACCTTCTCCCCGCTTCCTGGCCATGGCATGACGATGCCGAGATTCATGCAAGTATTTCTGTAACAATATGGAAGAAAAGACTAATGAAAGACCAGCTTACTCTTTCAAGTTCAGTACTTCCAGTAAATGAGACCATGGAAGAAGTTCCTGACCAGTGAAAAAGTCTGCCCAGTGCTTCCAGTAAATGCCTTATTGCAATGCAATACATACACATTCATACATATATATTCAACAATTAAAAGCAAGGAAAGCAAGCAGGACTGCCACTAAGGGACTTAATAGGAATTACTCTGATGTAGCTTATGAACACCACCACCGCCACAAACTGAAGAACACTTAAGATTGCAATCCCCGTTTTTCCAGCAGAGGTTTTCCATGTCTTCTCCATGCAGTATTAGATCTCAGTTACAGTCTCACCCTTCTTTCCTTGGGAATTTTTCCCTCGGCTTCCAGCTTAGCACGTGCCTGCCTCCTCTTTAAGATCCGGTGATACTGTTTGGCATTTACGTAGAGTGGCTCTTCTTCAAGCATTTCTGCTCCAGGCAAAGGTATTCTCTGGATAGCTGGTACCGATCCAGCTCCAGGTACCATCTGTACAGAGGAGAAGGTTTTTAGTACCTGTGGCTCAGAACAAGCAAAAACTACTACGTGCAACAATAAGTTAAAAGTTACATACTTTCAATTTTACTTCAGATAATGCAACTCTACTTTAAGTTAAAAGCTGTAATAAAGTTGGTCTCAAAGCAGAGAATAAGTTTAAACAAATCAAATACACATAGCTTATGCTTGCTTTTTCCTGATAATGGTAACATTTCAGCACAATATACAGTTCAATGACCACATTACTGCTTCTTGTACAGTTAGGCATAGAGGATATGCCTATCTCTTCCTTTTCTGTTTGGTTAGCACTTATTTCATTTATATGATTATTTCCAAGAATTCCTTAAGCAAATACAACTTACAGAACTGCTGACATCTAGTGGAGATGAAAAATAAAATTCAAGTTAAAAATGCATCTCACGACAAAGAAGTAAGAACTTACGGAAAAAGCCTTCTTATGAGTCACAAAAACAAATACTAAGGCATCCTCAAAAAAGTAGTATTTTATTCAGTCTTTTCAAACCTCTGCTTATCAGTTAACAGCTTATTTTACTTTTCAGTTTCTAGATCTCTGAACTCCCTAATCCAATATAGGGAAAAGTACAGAATACATAGTTCACATTAGGAAACAGGTCATTAAAGCTGAAAGCATACATTGTTTAAACTTTAAACTAATGCTAGCTACTGAGAAGAGCAGCCGTCCTGAGTTGACGCGGATCTCAAACAATCATTTGTGCGCAGACATCTTAAAGCTCAACCTTTATAAAATAGAAAGTTAAGAACATACCATAACCATTCCACCTGAATTGACAACATTTCCAGCAACTGGTAGCGTCACTGTCACAGTCCCTTGTCCACTGCTGGTCGTATTGGTGTTGGCTCCCGTCTGGACAATTTGTGCTCCAGCCAAACTGGCTGCTGGAATGGTGATCATGCCTGTAACAGGGACTGTAACTTTAAGAAAATAAAACACAAAAGAAAAAAAAAACAAAAACACGCACACAGAAAGAAGGGAACACCATTAGTCCCGCTTCCACTTTCACTCATTCACCCTTCCATAACATGGAATAGGATTTTAAAAAGCATTGCAAATTATTAGTTGTTATTATTTATTACATCATCTGGTCCTCATAATTAAAAATTTTTCTTTTTTGAATTTTTGTCATCTGAACAATAATCCCAGCCAAAGATAAGAGATCACATATTCTAAGGCTCAACAGCAAACTTAAGTGCTTCTATTCTAATAGCCCTTGCTAGAGAGAGGAATTTTTTAAAATTATTTTTCTGTGGAAAAGAACTTCCGTATTCCGTTTAAAAGCTGGGAGAATAATGTAAACATTTTTTCTTCCATTCACTATGCCAACCTTTGGCCTGACAACAATCGTAGCACAGTCAGCACTGCATCTCCATTTTTTCTTTGACAATACATACAAGGCAGTAAAAACCTACAAAACAAGTATTAAGAGGTCATGATCTTTTTGACACCAAAGCTCATACCTTGTTGAAGAATGGTTCCATCAGCATTAACTGGCTGATAGACTATGGTCTGGCCTTCAGCTGTCTGCGCTACCTGTTGCCCTTGAACTGCTATTTGTTGCTGGGTCTAAACAAAACAAAGAACACAGTAAACTTACTAATTGCTTATTTCCCAAATTTTACAGTTCCTGTAAATTACATACAGTGTTTAAGGTGTTTCAGGCACGTATTTCTTTTGCTGTATTACCAGCATAAAGAAATAGGATGGAACACAAGCCAATCGAACTGTAGATTAAGTACTTGAACAAACTTATTTTAACAGTGTGGTATTTAATATTGAAAAAAAAAAAAAAAACAAGTAAACAAGTTCGAGGTTTTGTATCTCACTACATGTTTGTTAAAGGAAGGACTGTTCTGCCCAAAAACTTAATTATGGTCCTGAACAGAAGAATCAACAGAAAACCCTGGTATGACTAGATGATTTCACAAAATGTGGGAAATATAAAATTAGCAGTACTTCATGTCTTTAAACTTCAACAAATAGACAAACAGCCATGAACCAATAATACAGAGAAACACAATGGATAAAAACATGCAATCTACTTATTCTGCCCCAGAGTTATGCTTGAAAATACCACAAAAATATTAATTTTATTCTCAAGTTCTCCTCAATATTAATAAATTCTTTTTTTTTTCCTTTTTACTTAACCATATCTTAAGTTATTTGTCAAGTTTCTCTTCCTATTCCTCTCAAGAAAATCCTTTCATGCTGGTGCAGTTACCTGTGTCTGGCCAGCAGTAACTGCAGTCTGTGGCTGCTGTATAATGATCTGCTGGGTCTGGCCCTGCTGCCCCTGTACCTGCACAGCCTGCCCACCTTGAATCTGAATCTGACCTGGCTGGACCAACTGAATCTGTGGAAGAAAGAGTCAGAAAGGAACATTAACTATGCCTCTTGTTTCTCCCTCCTTGGCCTCAGCGTTACCAAATCATCTGTGAGGACGATTTACTGTTGCCAAGAAAAAGCAAGCACTGGTTCTTCTCTTTTTCTATTTTAAACTGAAAAGAGTTTTAATTTATTCCTCTCTGTGGCACAGTAATCACTGATACAACAGCAGGCAGGACCATACAGAATAGAGGAAATATAACATGCTAGTGTCATCATGCCCTAGCAGTTCTCCACTGCTTACACAATAAAACATTCAAAAGAAATAAATTATTCACATGAAACTAGGAATAATAATACCCAGGTCAGAGGAAGAAAAGAGGACTAAGATTTAAGGTATCTGTAGAGTGTTAATTATCCAGGATACAGAAGTAGCCATATATATGTATGCACCAAATCACTGTGTGTGTGTGTGTGTGTGTGTGTGTGTGTGTGTCTTCATATAAATAAAAATTATCTTCAGCTTTGCAGAGAAGTGTTTCCACCAATTTGGAACACTTCTTAGATAAAAAGAGAAACTGAAGTTTGTTTTGCAGCTTCTGCTTTAAAAAAAAGCAGTTATAAGCTTTCCTCCAACAACAGGCTATATAGAACCTAACACAAAGAATATTGTCTTTCAACCAAGGAAATTTAAACAATCACTAAATAAGCCTCTCAGAACACCAAGACATCATGTGCCTTCCTTGACTGTGCTGAACTTGATTCCTAAATCCCATTCTCAAATACCAGAAACACTTTCATTACGACACTATTATAGTTTGAGGAACACATATCGAGCACTTGCTCAAATTTAAAAACTCTCTATTAAATCAATGTTTCAAAATAATTACTTCTAATAAATCCATCATATATCTTTTTAAAGTCTTATTTTCTGCATAATGGGAAAGTTTAAATTCAGCTCCAGCCAGCATGTATTAGATGAACTCCAACACAAAAATTATTTTTAAGAAACTTTCTTTTTAAAAAACATCCTCTTTAGCGAGCCATATAGTGTAATAGCCAGTTAAACGCACACAAAAATCTCTAGTTGTATTTTAATGGACTACTTGTAAAAGGTTTGCACCATCCCATAAAATACAAAACTAAATACAGAAGGAAATTTAGTTTAATTTTGAATATGCAGCTCACTGTGACACTTCCATAGCTGGAGAACAATCATTTTTATCCAGCCTATTTTAACAGTGCTAAGGCGAATATAGTCTAGCTGACAAGGTGAGAACTTCATAGTTCATTCTTTTGTGATTTATCTTTAACAAAATTTGAGTTATCTCACCTGCTGCAGTCCTTGTGTTCCAGAAACCGGGACTTGCATGATTGTCTGGCCCTGACCCCCAGGTACAGCCTGCACCATGATGGGCTGACCAGTCGAGGTGATCAGCTGACCTCCGCTTACTTGTACCATTAATGGTTGACCCTGGACCTAGAAAACAGGAGAAAAAACAAACATAACAATGAAAAGAAGTCTGGTGACATGAAACCACATCAGGCTAAATGCTCACCTATTTTAATGCAGTCACCAGAGAAAGTGAGCAACAGTCACTAAACTGGTTTCATAATCAGCATCAAATATCTTTAATTTCTAAAACTTTCTCCATGTTATGCTGCTGGATTTTGTAAGCTATCTTTTTCTGCCACAGCCTAACCAAAACTTCCAAGTCCAATTGCAACAAAGCATGAAATATGTGGCTAAACTGTCCAAACACAGTAACTATCTTCATGCACAGCCTGAGAGTAAAGCAAAGTAAAAGAAACTTCATTATCCACATCACTATTATAAATCTTTAATTGGGCTTCTTAAGGAGAAAAAGCTCTAAAGAAGTTATCCTGACAGAGATTCTGAGGTAGCTTCAACTTTCTCCAATTACATTCTTGCAACATTTCCGTTTCCTAACTGATATATAGCATGTCACGTTCATAAGGAATCTTTTCATGGTTATGAAGTGAAATTATTAACGTTAACAGCCCAAACTGTAGTTCAGTAAGGAAGACTGAATGAAAACCAGCAGCAACCACTTCCTGGACCAGCAAGGTTTACAGAGAATTTATAAATTCAGCGAAACTCATTCAATAGTGTCTGCAATCACTCACTAGGAAAAAGGCTCATGAAATAAATGGCAAGAAGAAAATCCCTCCGTTTAAACATCCTTGTCTGCCAAGCCCCAAACATCCCAAAATACATCTTTGAAAAGAGTATGGAAAAACCAAACCTCCACAGCTTAAATGTAAATGATCTTATGAACTAGGCAATCACTCTTTACTATACTCTCCCTTATTTGGAAACAAGAGAAGACGAAAGAAAAGTCACCGAGCTCCTGGGTTTTCTACCTGAAAACATCAAGAGTATGCAATAGCCAAAGCTCACTCCACAGTCACCTTCATTACAGAACACAAGTCAAACTAAATATCAGTACAGATTTTCAGCATACACTGAACTACCTAAAAAAAAAAAAAAAAAAAGCTTCACTTTGCATAGGTCAAAAATCATAGTGAATTATATGCTAACACATCTAAGGAAACAACCACAATGGTACCTCAATAATCAAGGCCCTAAATAGAATATTCTGGAGTTTACAGGTCACCTAATACCCCTGCTAGACTGTTTGGTTTCCCAAACACGTGAAAGCCACTAACATAATTGGCAGTACGTGTTTTGAATTACAACACAAGTAGAAAGATATAAGCATGCTCATGTCAACCACAGAGAAGCGCAGTCAGCAGTACAATATCCAGTAAGTAGAAAGAAAAATGATAAATTCTAGGATTCTTGTTAATGTATTAGAGCAAGCGAAAAGAAAAAAAAACAAGGAAAAGCAAACATTGCACTATGGGACTAGGAGGCCACAGAGCTCCAAGCAATCCACGTCAGCCAGTTTTTTCTATTTTAACTCTGAACATAAAAAATGCTGTGTTCAATTGTACATCTGGCAAGACCATGCTAGCCTCTCAGAACTTCCTTCCTCTGAAGAGTTTAAACAAACAAATACACAAACAAAAACAAAATACCAAGTGAAGAAAGCTCTACTAAATTGCTACGACTATCCAGGGTTTATCAACTCCTTTAAAAGCCTACATGAGCTAATGAGATGAAGTTTGCAAGAGACAGTACTTCACATCAGAACCAATCAGGGTTTGAAATAACCTTGCATTTCTTTCCAATTTGTGACATATTTACTATTAGGATAAATGGCTCTCCTGGATTTTCCTGTTTTGTCCAAATATCAATAAGAAATCAGGTATCTCAATCCCACAGGATCTAATAAGGGGCTCAGTTGCCCTTTTTAATCACAGATGAAAAAGTTTCACTCTGCAGGCTGGTGGGTCACCCACCGCATCTCTGGCTTCTTTCCATGCAGCGAAGATACACAAATCCTATTCACCCTGGGTATCAGAAATCTCTTCTCCTTGAAACCGTACAAAAGTCAGTTTGTATCTCTTGAGTTATATCTCTGGACTGCAAGATGTTATTTCTTTTTGAGTTTGAGTTCCATTTCAATGACTATTCACTTTCGTAATTACAGCAGCAGAAATTCATGAATGCATTAGGGTTTCTGGCATCCATTTGAGATTCAATGAAAAGCTGTAACCTGTTCTTCATGAACAAACCCTTCAGCTAGCAGAAAAGCACAGCTGCTTTTGGCCACAAATTGTCCTGTCCCTATTTCAAACCCTGGTAGAAACACAGCATTAGATATGTGGCGACGGGGAGAGTCATGCAGTGCTCACAAACACAATTAGAGAGATCACCACTACCTGGAGGGTCTGGACTTGCTGGCCTGAGGCGGATGCCACCTGGGCCTCAGTCTGCAACTGGACAGCAGTGACACCACCCTGCTGCTGGGAATAGGAACAGGAATAGCTTGAAACACAGAAATGCATAGCTCAGACAAGAGACAACCACACTTTGCTGGAAGAGGATGAATTTAAAATTCATACACACTGCTCTTGAACATAAGGTATGCAAATATGTTTAGCAAACCTAAGAAAGGAATACGAGCAAAATTGCATATGCACACTGGCAGCTTTCACAACCCTAAACAAAAATCAGTTACAAATAGCATGATAGATTATTTTTCATTTTAGAATGTGCTACCTTTCCACTTGTGCTTTCCTTTCACTGTCCAAGCTTCTTATTGTGAAGGGGTTTCAGATTTTGTCTGACCTGTTAGTCACAATGAAGGCCATAAATTCCTTTATGCCCAGAACAGCAGCACAGATAACTGCAGACTAAGATACATCTAGGTCAGCTCCGCATCAAAATATTCCACCACTGACCTTGAAGGACAATCTTGAGAATTTGAAAGAGCAGTTAAATCTAAGAGCCTAGTCTATTTTTAGCCTCTTTAGCAAGAGTACTAAAATAATCTGTTAACTGCGTTAGCATTTTGGAAGATGAAGGACATCTCTAAAAACTGTACTACAATTGGCCGATTCAAAAGTTTCTCTTAGAAAAACAACTGTTTCGTGTATAATATAACACAGGCTTTGAGAGCACATACTACAACTGAAACAAGTCAAGGTATGTTTTTACCTCCCTTCTTGTTAAAAAAATACCAATAGAATCAAATACTTTATCTTTGGTCACCTGCTGGAAGCAGTACCAGAATTTTTGACAATTCTTAAATTGTAATTTTTTAACCTCAACTATAACCTTGTTCTTGCTGAAAGAGTTAACTTCCACTAAATTCAGCGGGAGAAGAACGCTGGTCCTGGCCTGTTCCCATCAAACACTCAAACAGACTAATAACAAAGCAAGCATAATATCTTATTACAAATATAACCCGCAGCATGTCATTCATTTGCATGGCTTAAGCAAAGAAACTCCTCTTGTCCTGAACTAAAACAAACATCAGATGCAACAACCCCAAATTCAGCCACAACACAGCTCATCTGAAAATACCTAACAATACGTGAATGGGTGTAACGTAATACCAACCAAAAATATATAAGCCCTTTAAAAAAAAAAAAACAAACAGCTCTACTTGTCTGCACGTTGTAACACATGAACTAGAAATCTCTTTTCGGAATGAATTCACCCAAACTTTTGGGGTGAAGTTTTGTTGCGATTCCAGTGGTGTATGTTCATTCTGATCCATCTCCAGTAACAAAACAACAGATTTCAATAGATACTTGTTTTGAGAAAGTTGAATAAAGCCTCTCTTTGCTTGGACAAAACCTACTTCAATTTTGCGAGGGATCTACATTGTTCCTTGTGGAAAATCAACTATTCAGATTAATATTCTGTTCCCTCCATTTTCAGGATTTTTATTTGCCTCATGTCACTATCAGTTTATGAAGTCCCTACTCCACCAAAACTTGGTAACTTGCATACCTGTAATTTTATTAAATTAGATTAAAAAAATATTTACTCAGACTTCAATGACAAAACAAGACCACTGATTAAGTGACAGAAGTCAGGTAAACACGTATCCAGACAGCATCATGAAGCATTCTGCTGGCTCTGCGGAACGTATGGGCCGGGGTGGGAAGGAAAGGAAAAAAAAAAGTACAAAAAGGTTTATGGCTAAGTATTGGGAATGCCAGCTCACCCTTTATGATAACTTTCCATACCTGCTGCTGAATCTGTCCAGCCTGCACAACAATCTGCTCTGTGGAGCTGTTACTATTTGCTGTGTACTGCTCCATTGCTCTTCAGTTCCAATACTGTACACGGCACACCTCAGGCTGTGTATCTGACAAGACAAGAAAAAAAGCATGCGATTATTTTCCCAAGGTTTCAAGATCAGTACTATCTTGCAGTAACTGAAAAGCAAACCATCAATTGACACTGAGATGAGATGCCTTGGTCAGAACCACACAGTAAGCGCAGCTGTTTAACCTACCTCTTTCATAATGTCATCTTACTTTCATCTAGGAACAGATTTTTTGATTTCAGTAACACGTACCTTGACTGAGAATCAAAAGGACCTCAGTTTCAGTTCTGTCAGTAATCCTCAGCAAATCAAATAGAAGCTATGAACCTCTTTCTACTCCATGACTGTTTTATCTCGAGTGCACATACTCTGGGCTACGGGCAGTTGCCTTATGGGCAGTTGCCTACTGTGATTGGGAAGGGTCCTCTAAAAAGCTCACAACATACAAAAGTTTAAGTGTAAAACCAAGCTACCTTTCAAGAATTCAACGAGGCTAAGCGAAATAGTCTCTCCTTCCCAAGTATGCAGCACTCCTACCTTGTATCTCTCCCCTCTCCTCGCACTTTTGTATAATTTGAAAATAGCCAGCAGACTTCTCATTGCTTCTATCCTTTTACTACCTCTCCTTTCTTGGACCCTTGCCTAGACATATGAAGAACACACTGCTGAAATAAAATACTTAGTTCCATTACCTCTTTCTTCCCCACATTTCTTCTCTTCTTAGTTGAACAACAAAGAAAGAATTCTTACCATTACTTTTAATGAGGAATTTGATTTATGCTACAACTGGAAAAGTACCCGTTACACTAGTGAAAAAGCAGTCTTTGACCTTCATCTTCAAAGTTTAAAGCAATAAAAAAACAGGTCCTTTCAGCGTTCAAAGAAATGCATATAACATTTAGCCACAACTTCCACTAACCGTAATAGTTTTTGTGGTTACTACTGTAATGACACCTCTCTTACTTCCTGCTCTTTAATTTTAAAATATCCTTTGTACTTAAGTGTCTTGCATTCATCTTAAGAACATTTCAGTTTTCTCATAGAGTTATTCCTCACTGCGACCTAAGAAAACATGCTATGTTTTTACATTTCATTGATTTCTTGTTCATTAACACAAAGTATTGTTTACTCACAAAAAAAAAAAAAAAGATTAACCAATATGTATCAGGACAGATCAGAAGCAAGTTCACTGCAGGACACACAACTGCCATAATAATGTAAGCCTTCTCGGTCCCGATCAGGTATTTTGTTCAGAATTAAGATGCAAGAACACTAAAGCCGGAAACAACAAAAATAATCTGAGTCACAGCACAGAAATTTTGCTGCAATTTTAACTATCTTTGACCCATTAGCAACAGTTTTCCGCAGAATAAGAGGAGACAAATATTCTTTCTGAGTTGCTTCTGTCTATCAAGGTTTTCATTGCGCCCAGCATACTTAATCTCTTCCCTAAAAGTGTGTTGGCCTGTCAGAAAACAGCTCCCACATTTCATTCTTCATGGAAGCATTTCCAATAGCAAGCTCGGGATGCCACTAAATTACATTGGCCAAAACTTCTCTGGTTTCCCCAACGCCACAACCAGTAATTAAGCGCAGACCTACTTATATCCCAGAATACTTCTTCTCAGACCCTCACATCAAGCCCCTGTCCTGTTTACTTAAAACATAAGTAACATTGCAATCCTAAGGGTCGTAGCTAACCCGTCACAATGGAAGATTTCACATGTACTGGATCGCAGTCCTCCACAGGATTATGTTTCATTCTCTTCATTAAAACAGAGTCAGCGTTGCTCTGTCAAAGTTAAATTTTAAAGATCAGCGACAGCACGCCCCTCCCACAGCTGATCTCACTAGTGAGCTCCCTCCACATGCCTTACTGCCAGGCCCTTGTCCGCACTGGCCACGACTTAGTGCTCTAGTTCTATCAGTATATACATATATACACTCATCTACACACCATCCTAACAGCAGCTACATCGACAGCTCCCCACATGGATAAGCTGTGCTGAGACATTGCTCGTGTGATAATCTATGCCAGAGCTTGAGTTAGCATGAAAGCATCATTTTAAACTGTGTCACACCCTGAAGCAACATTACTAAACTGGCAGAAATTTCTAGGACGGACCCTGTCAACCTACCCCCGCGATCACTGTCCTCAACGGACAGGACACTCGCACAAAGCCAAGAACAGGGTTTCACTTAAACAACAGCGCAGACAGGCCACAGCCTTATCTCCTGCTGTTCAACAGGAAACACCACGAGGTGTCCGTCTCTCGTTCCTGACCTCCTTATCAAACTTGTAAGTCGGGGAGTTCACCCAGAGACGTTTTCATTTTATTGCAGAGCCAGAGACGGGAGAATTTTCGCTGCAGGCAGAGGCCGCGCCGGGGCGGACGAAGCAGTGCCCCG